TTCGACGAACGCGGCATTGCCTATTGTACACGTCAACTCAACCAAATTATTAAAAATGGCCGGTCTAATAAAGAACTACCGAATCTGTACAGTCCACTTGACCTCATATTCTAAGTGTTAAATACACCACCAGCATCAGTTGCATCGAACTTTGAGCAAAACTAAGGAGATTTTGTAATGAACAGAACTATTTTTGCCTATCTGTCAAGAAGATGTCAGAAAATATTACTAATTTGCGTAATTTCTGTCTGTCTGAAAACTGATTTAAATTTAATGGACTCCACAAAGAGAAAGGCTTTAGCTGGAGGTTAGTTAGGGCTGCAAAAGCGTGCCTTCAGCAAAAAGCAGTTTGGAAATCTATTATGAAAAGCGCACGCAGGGATTTTAAAAGCGTCGAAACATCGACCTTTATCAGTTTATCGATTTATCGAACGAAATGCATGTTACAAGAAAGTAAAAAAATTCAGAGATAACTATTTATAGAGATAACTATTTATAAATAATTTTTAATCTTAAATCCTGACTGCAACTTCAAAAACTTAGGAATGTTTACTTCATTTTGAGGGGTTTTAAGCGGCATTTTGAACCCCTTTAGTGCGCGAATGAACGAAAGCGCATCAGCACATCAACCGACGGCTTTGTTATATTATTCGGTTAAATTCAACAACAAGTTTGTTTGAATGATGTTTGTGAATCATTTTTAAATTTAATATAGGAAATGATTGAAAACTCAGTCCCTTTTACGGATGGAAAAGTATATATGGTTGTCTCAATTTCAGGGTTCCCATTGATTGAGATGCACATATGCAAACTGATGGGAGCACCCTGAGCTTTCTAATAAATAAGGGTTTAATCATTTCTCCATAAATTTAAGACTCGGATCATGTTTCTGCCGCGTGTTTGTGAAAGGGGCGAATCATTCTATAGCTGCAGTTATAGCTCCACAATGTACTTAACTTATTGTTCCCACAAAACGATCCAGTGGAACATATTTTTTATTATCATATGACCCGTATTTCAGGCCTACGCGCGCTCTTAAAAAAGCTTTTGGGAAATGGTCACGCGATGGGGGCCATACGACTTTTCGCGGAAACCCGTATCTTCCAGGCTTGAAGTTCCGCGCGCTTTTATTATTTTTCTTTTACACATCTTTTCATCAAAGAAATGGCTTAAAAAACGTTGTCATATGATAAAATGCTCGCTGCGCTCGTTCCGTACGGCATAACCTCGAGCCAAATATTTTCCCGTACGGCCCTCACACTCAGTCAATATGTAAATATTACAACCTGCCTACTATTGGTATTTTAATATCTGAAACTCTAGTTAAGTGAAGGCAAAAATTACAATTTTAATAATTATAGTAATTTATGCCAGTCAGAAATATTATCTTAATTGAATATCTTAATCTAAGATGTCACCAGGTTTTGGTCCTTTGATATTWCCTGAAAGAAGAAAGAAAATATTTGATAAAAAATGAAATTTCTGATATTGAATCAWTCAGTTGACTTATAATTTAGAGRCTTAAGTGCATCCAAGACCCTTTTCGGTCGTTTCTTTTGTTTTACAAAKATAGTTTCTCATTGGCTCAAAATCAAAGATGGCGAATTTTGATATGGGAGAAATTCAAGCAAAGGTTGCTAGATGCACTTTGGCATGTACTGAAACCATATAAGGTTCATCTTCTGGTCATCTTATTACCTTTCACTTTTACTCCGACGAAGGATTAACGTCCGAAACGTCAGTAAGTTATTTCACATACTTTTTTTACGGTGTTAAATTTATCTTTTTACACAACTGTTTCTTTAGAAACACCGACGCAKCTCACACTAGTTTACCGCTAGTTTCCACCATCTTATTRCGTACCATAATCAATAGTCTTATCTTCATCTTTGTCTCCATTATACGTGAAATGGCTTTCACCTTGAGCTGAAAATACGCGATTAACATACGATATAACAGAAATACAATCAACTGCAAAAATGTTGTTGAGTCTGATGTGTACGTATTTACACATATAATGAGATTAAAGGGAAGCCAAAATGGCAAAATYCTTTATTTCCGTGTCTCTTCGATTGCAATCGCCATCTTGAACTTCCCGCCATTTTATTTTCGTTTTTGGTTACCCTCTGATGAGCTCTTCGAGTGATGCATGTTTCGTGAGCCTCGAAGGCACGAGAAAAAGAAAACAAAATGGCGGAAGATTCAAATTCGCCATCGTAAAAGAAGATGCACGAAAATAGTGGAGGGGGAGAARAGGGAGAGTACAGTTTGTCGTGCCCCCTTGCTTAGATGTAGAGGTGTCGTTCATGAGGTTCCAAAGTAACCCAGACCCACTCCATGAATAGTCGATTTTAGAAATTTTAGTGGATGAGTAACAATGYTAAAACGTAATTGGAGACGAGGCTTCAGGGATATAGATAACCTCCATGGAGCCTCGTCTACAGTTCTTATACGCATGGTCACCGAACCAAAATATCTAAAGTCGGCTATCAAAGGGCTGCTTTTAAACACTATTTATTCTAATTACCATCACATTGGTACATTTTGTTGGTCTGATCGATATCCCCTTGACTCAGTGCAATCCGTTGCCCAATATCAGTGTTCGGCACCAATGGCTCTAGAGTAACTGCACCATAAGCATTGTTGCCCTGGTAACGGGAGTAGTGCATGATGCTGCCATAGTCGTAGTCGTTGCCACGGGAGTCGAGAAATGCTGTAGAAACTTTCTCAAAATCAAAAGCTGCCTCTGCCGAAAAAAGTGATTGCATGTTTTCAGTGTTTTGATTTTCCGTTTCTGTTCCTCCATTTTCCTATTCCTGTTTGGCTATTTGCGACACTATTCTTTCCCCCATGGAAGGTGGCGTTCCATAAAAGTACAGATTTCATGCTGTATCTTACCTTTTCGTACATTGCTTTCAATAACTCTAACAAATTTATCTCTGTCCGGTCGTGTGTGTTCGTGGAAGAAACCAATCGAATGACCAAGTTCATGAATGGTAGAACCAAGAGTACAGGGACTGTAGGAAGACAAAAGAGAAAATGCCAAACAACAAAATGTTCTGAAACAATTGGASTGCGYCATTTCCGTAAATGTGTACATTGACAGTCATTGACTTGAAATAGTAAATGTCCTTATTCTTAGGGATATATTTTATCAATGTCACTTGTTTATACCCCAGTGTACAGAAAAGCAGTATTTCTTATTTAAGAAGTTTGGCTCACTAGTCAATTGGTATTGTGTACAATTTTTGAAAACATTAGAAATCAATAATGTTGTCAATAGTGAAACTCAAGGAACCATATCACACTATTTCTTGAAATCGTTCATATGTGCAAACAAACCATGTTCATTCATCATAGATACTTACTTGGTCGGAACTACCGATTGAAATCAATTGCTTGGGCTCTTTCCTGTATCCAACTTGAGCTTTACAGCCACTTATTTTTTTAAAATGAAAGAATGATATGTAATATATTTGGCACATGAAAATTCTTTGATCGTTTTAGGAGAAAAGTTAATGCACGCAATATGCATGGTTCCWTTGAGRGTCTTTACCTCACCYTACCCCARCAAAATGCTGACAAGATTCAACAATGGCCGTAGTCTGATATAATMATCAGTACCACAATAATAACAATATGCGCAGAAGGAATGCAATTATAGGTAGAATGGTGGGAACTAGCGGTAAACTAGTGTGAGCTGCGTCGGTGTTTCTAAAGAAACAGTTGTGTAAAATGATAAATTTAACACCGTAAAAAAGTAGGTGAAACAACCGACTGACTGTTAATAGTGTTAAATTATCTTTTTACACAAATATAGGTAGGTTTAAACAGAACATGTGACACTTAATTACTATTGAAATTTCAGTGCAAGCGAGACAAACGTAGCTCACAGAAAACATTGAATTTCCAATCAATAAACACATAGGCCCATTGTACTGGAACTTTAAGAATAAAAAACATAACAAGGATAGAAAAGTCGATATTGTACATTCTAGTATACATTTTTYAGTATTTTGGCTATAGTATGTATATCTCTCACCCATCGTATGTGAATTCAAGGTAATTTTTCTGATTGCTTCTYTCTATGAATTTGACGCAGGTCCGGTCCATCCAGTGCTGCATGGCYTGTTTTGCGATTCTTTTACCAACATCGTCTTCAAAAGTATTGAGACAAGTTAGTATTCATCTATATTATAATCTAACACTTAAAGAACAGCTATTTTTTATTGATATTAAGAACCAGAAGAACTTTAAATACAGAATAAACAGAAGAACTTTGAAGAATCYGGTGTTGAAGCGGAATATTTCAACAATGTCTGGTATATCAATAGTCTATTTTTATTTTTATTTTAAAAAGACAAAGTATTCTCATTCCACTTCATTTAATTATTGACAAATATTCATTTTCTTGGAAAGTAAGTGTTTCCAATTCGTATAMTTTTTCCGAATATTCTGTATTCCATAACTGTTTCCCTCTAATATTTCAATATGAGAGTATGTATGGATTGAAACATTCTATAAGGTGCACATTTAATGTCTATTTCAAAGAGATTTGTCGATTAATTTTTTGGTCACTAGATTAAAAACGCTCGTCGGATCTCTTAGGGTTAAATATTTGTGATTGGGAATCTTTTAGGGTGCCAATTTGGAGTTTCTGGAAATTTGCATTTTTTTGCAATCTTTTAGGGTGTCGGAAAAGAAGAGAAAGAGCGCATTAATATTTATTTTCTTCTGCGTTTTTATCATTGGAACTGATTTAATTTAATAATATTTTTTGTGTAATCTCTTAGTGATTAATTCTCAGTCAGCCACATCCTTTTTTCAAGACTTTTTAGGGGTCTTTTTGAAAATTTCTGACGAGCATCCCACCCGYCCCCTCCCTCTCCCCTCTCGGGACTAAAAGCACCAACTCTTAAAAGACTACTCACTCAGGTTTTTACCAAAGGTATAAGGTACTTTCCCACCAGGCCATAGCCATTTGTCCTTTATGGCAGCGCGTCGTACGCGGCCATCTTTTAACTGGTTGTAAACCTGTTTCTGGTCATTTGTGATTAGCATATCATTTTCAACTAACTCAAGTCGACTATCCACTGGTTTTCCTGCGAATAGTGAGACGTTTTAAGGAATATAGCTTGATGGGTTTTACAAAAGAAAGTTCTAAAGCTCGAGTCTATTGTCAGGATCGTCAAGAAAATATGATCCCCAAAATCGCTCTCGATTGAGACCTAATTTGACGTTAGGGTGTTTTTTGGGAAAAAAGGTGCTAGAGTTGCCTGAAACTTATTGATTTAATCACGCATTATATGGACTCTAAAGTCTTTAGAATTCTTAAATTCACTATTTTCCAAACAACAGGTTCGATTTATAGATACTTGTATTCAAATAAGTCTACTTTATGAAAGAGTGAGTACATGGTATACCTTAATAATAAAGTCAATAAACTCCAATTCTGGTTTAAAACTTACCTTGAATTGTAGTTAGAGAGATTTCTAAAAATGTGAAAGCTATAAGAAGTAGCATTCTCTGAAAAGAATAAAAGCAAAATCGAGATTCTCTCAAAGCACCCTCACGAATAAACCATTTATATAATGGAAATATAGAATATAGAACCAAGATTTATAGTGCTAGTCCTTGTGAAAGATGGAAAACGTTTGCTTAGATTGAAAACATCATTTCGTTTTATCTCATAATTAAGTAATTAGCTACAGTGCTTGGACAACGTTTGAGTTTTTTTGACATAATTAGACACGGTAAAATAACCCAGGAATAAATTTTAGCACAGAAACGTCTTAATTTTACAAATAATTGTGATTCCCTTATTAGATATATTTACTTACAAGATATTTTGTCTTTTCTTGATAAAGTGGACAAGTAAATATGATCATTTTCGTATCTTTTTAATATTAATTAACGTATTTACCTTTTAAGAAAATGGCAAAAATATTTTGATCATATACAATGAAATTATTGGTTATTTGAAAGATTCGAATGCAGAKATAAATTTCTATAATTATTTTTATAATCATTAGTTTGAATGCGAAGGGGACTCGAAGTTTTTGTGTAGCTCTAAACAATATTATAGTCAATATCTTTTTTGAATTATACAGTTATATTCAAAGACCAATAAACTATCCTTCCAAGAAATAATGGGAAAGTAGCGTTAAATTATCTGATTTTGATATGTTTTGCAGTTATATGAAAGTTAAAACAAACTTGAGCATCAACTGAAACTACTAATTTTATTTTGATAAAAAACCTCAATAACAATAATAATACTATTGCATAAGGTAATAGAAAACACACAAACTCTTAAAGATCTGAAAGGTTTATTTGTTGCTTTTTTTCGCATTGTGTTTTAGAGTGTGAGGTTGTCCTATGCTAAATTAGAACCGCGMCACCCAGTTCTTTCTCTTTGTCTAATTAAATCAAAATATAGAACAATAGAAAAAGCATGACCATCACGCCCACTTTKCCTTTTTCTTTGACATCTGGCTGGTACTAGTCAGCCTCAAATTGGAAAGAGYAGAATTTATACTGACATTTATATAATAATAATTGATAGAGATAGTTTWAAAAACACGACATTTAGCTTGCTTTTTCCATTTACTTCTAGTTTTCCATTAACATGCAATAATAGAACAAATACTGAATGTCAACAAATTTAGTCCAATTGAAAAAGCATGACCACCACGCCCACTGTGCCTTTTTTCTTTGACATTTAACAGGTAGTCACTCATGACTGACTTAGCGCACATCGTAAAAGATAATATCAAAAAAAATGATAGAAAGCGCTAAATTACCAAGATCTTACTACTATTTRAAACCCTTAAAGGTCCCAGGAACAGAAAACTCGTTCTTAAGGGTAGTTGAAATTGACAATAGGATAAAAGTCCTAGAAAATTTAGTGAATCTAATACAATCTACAATAAATCTACATGCACTTTTACATATCTCTACCCTGTAGATGCCCATCAATATCAAATCGAACATTAAGTCCTTTGACTAGTAAACAGTATTTAAATATGGAATAAGGAATGCCAATAAGGATGAGGTTTATCCGATATCTAGGTCCATATATTTAGGTCCATGATCGGCCCCTGTAAAGGTCTCAATGTTGACAAAATGGATCTAATCCGCTAATGAGTTGCCATGCTCCTCCTCCCCATTCCTTCTYGGCCCCCAGCAGGAACGCCTGTAAGCAGGCTTGTGTGAAATGTAAATACAATKATCACTGAAACTTACTCACATGTGGTTTCAATACTCCAATTTCGAATTCTCTTTTGTGGAAGCTTAGCTTCAATCAGGCATAAATGGTTTATTGTCTTCTTTGTACACAAAGTTCTTGCGTTACAATAGAATCTCTGCCAAATAAAATAATATATTATTACATGCTTTCGAGACTGCACAAATAAGATCTCGAAACTGGAGTATTYGGCGAGAAAATATATATCAGCACAATGCGTATTCAATGTGGGATCGACAAGCGAGCTTCGTATAAATAGTGATTCGCGCATGATCAGATTGTCTTATTTTTCTCAAACCTTTTAAAAATGCCTAGTCATTACTCCAAGTCGAATTTTCAGGGCTTGATTTTAAAATGAGTATTGGAGATTGAAAAAACCGTTGAAAAAACTCATGTTTTACTAGGTATAAAGATTCTTTCGTGTTTAGTAACTTATTCATAGAATGTGATCGTGAATATGATTTTTCCGATGGAATGTTGACCCTTTTATGTGTAAAAAGACCGATACCTTACGGAAGAAGGTAAAGAGACCCAGTTGACGAGGTCTTAATAGCTTGCATTAACATAGTGGAGTTGCTGATTGACTCTTGGGAGGGATGGATTGGTTGGTGGGGAGGCAAAGAAATATCATCGTGTGAGTTTTCCATCTGTTGTATATGATTATATAATGTGTTATATAATATCTGGAATTTACGCGTCGGGTCCCATGAGACGTAAAATAGACTATTTAATGGCGCATACGAGACAAATAAAACACAGACCAACTAAAACGCTTCCACTGTGTATTTACTCTTCGTAACACATCTTTATTAACATCTTTTTAATTTTTGCACAATTTGTACTACAACTACATGCCATTGGTAAATTTAATCATAAAACTTCAATTTGGGTATTAGAACACTAAACATTTGGTAATTGAAAGAGCCTTGGCTTCTGCAATCAATCTCATTGTAGAATTACTCCAGGTCGCACTGCAAAGAATGTGGACAAGGAACATGAATGTATATCAATATCAATGTCAATTTGCCTAATGTCAGTTGATTACTGTGCTGAAGATATATTCA